CACTTTCATTACTATGAAGCAAGCTAGTTGACTTATGAAGCCGGTCAAACAAAGCAGTAGCTCAGTGGAAGCCCTCTATTTGGGTCACACAGATAGTGACGGTCAGACTGGACATTGGTTGATGGTAGGAGGACCCGACGTGGCACACCTTCTCAAGTTATCCTCCCAGCCACTGATTGGACCTCGGTGACAACACGACTGCAGAGCGGGAGCAGATGCTCCCCTCTCCCCTGAGTAGAGGAAAATGGGCAAACTGGAACATGATGACCTCGTCATGTCAGTGAGCCATTTTCTTGAATATCTGTGTGTGATTCAGCGTCTCGGTCTGGTTGCTGAAAAAGCAAGAACTGTGTTTTTTTTTCTTAAGAGGACCCATGCTGCCTCATCCGGCCTGGACGGGGTTAATTTGCCCCTCAGAGGTGCTCAGGTTTCTCTCCAGCTGTCTGTGCCCTCAGCTGTTTCTACTCTGAAGCATCTCACCCAGATCTGCCCCTGCCAGTCCAGGACGCACGCACACTTTTGTTCTCCTCTCACCTTCTCTTCTGCCTATTTAGGAGCAACTTATTCCCATTAGCTTATTATTTTTACTGTTTATTAGCTGGTGTCCAAATAGAAGGAAGGTGTGTTACAGTCGAACTGAGTCCTGCTCTGGCGCGTGATTACATTCGCTTTTCATGCTGTGCTCTGAGGGGTAGAACAACTGCGAGCGCTCGGGTTGTCCCTCCCCCTCTGACGTTTGAGCTGCTGTTTAACCAAGCAGGTGAAGGACCTTGGACTTCCTACGCCTGGAACCGAGCTGCAGAACTTTCAGCTGCTCAAAACGACAAAGTTCTTGGTATTTTTTTTTTTTTAAAGGAGACCAATGTATTTGTTGATCTTCTCCTCATACAGACCAGAAACTGCGGAGTGTTTAAGTTCAACATGAGCTTTGGGTTTGACTGGGCTGCAGTAAGGTAGCTGCTCAGCTCCATCTCCATGTTTGCATGGGTGAATCGTCTTATCAGACGAGCCGATGCAGGAGCAGCCACCTCTCACCCATGTAATCAGTCACATATAAAAACCAACAGTAGTTTGCCAAGACGAGTCCTTTATCATTGTCAGATATTTTACATGCTTACTGTCTGTCTCTGTGTCTAACGGGACGATAAACCTGGATAATCACTTTTTTTATTTTCATTTTTTCCTTCATACTGCTGTAGAGCAGTTTACATTTCTGATAGACTTTGTTCTGAGGCAGAGACTCTGAAAGCAAAAATAAAATATGGTCTAAATATTAAAAAATGAAAAGTTTTTTTTTGTTTTTTTCGAGCATCAAATAATTTAAAGGTTATCATGGGGCAGTTGCACTCAAACTGCTGACTGTTTGTAAATGACACTGGGAGAACTGGGGCAAACTCCACAGTGCGCTTTCAGTCCAAGTACGATGCAGGCGACAAACAAGTAGTTGTGAAACAAGAAGGCAACCTGAATATTTATTTTTGTTGTTGTTTTAAGGGGTCTGGTATTTTTAATGTCTGGGTTAGTTGGCATAAAGAAACGCAGAACATTGTGGGTTTCTCCTGTTCTGCTTGATCTCCCTGTTCCTGATATGAAAACCTTTCCTATTTCTGTTATAAATCTCTTTTTTCACTCTTTATGCCAATCAAACAAAAGAAGAGTTCCTTCCTTCCAAGTTGACTCATCATATGCCACCAATATCAGTTTTTACAGGGTTCCCGCGGGTCCTTAAAAAGTCTTAAAATGTCTTGAATTTAACTTGCCTTATGCTGTAGGAACCCTGTTTTAAGTGATGCATTTATGTCTTTATGCACAGATGATTGTTGCTCCGTTTAAACCTAATGGATGATCAAGGATCATATAATAATCTATATAATAATAATAAGCTTTAAAATAATCATTCAGTCCTACAATCCATTAGTTTGTCTGTCCAACCATCTGATGAAACTTGGAGCTTTCTTCCCTTAGTAACAACATCCACATAATGCACCACACCCAAGCTCCAAAAAGCTGCTCTAACAAAAACACTTTGTCTGCATATAAAGGTTGGAGCTTTGAACTTGTCCTTCCATCCATGTTGCTTATTTTGTTCTTGTCTCACTTTTTGCAGGTTCTACATTTAAAGCTGGAAAAGCGCTCAAATATCTGCCTAAACATCTTCCTGAACATTTTATATTGGTGTTATAAAAGTGTCCATTAATGACTGGGATCTCTGGAGACGGGAGTTTCAAGCTTTAACATTAGAACTACCAACCCACATAGTTCTATATTTAAATATCTAGCTTTCAGGTAGTTTAGGGGAAATGTTAGACAAACTTTATATCTGCTTTGTAGCTCCTTTTTAAGACCTATCTTTGTATTAAAGTTGAATCACCTGGAGTCAGACCCTCAGAGCTCTGAACCCACACAGAAATCTAACATCCTAAATGCTTTCTAATATGCAGGCCTCTTCCCATCCTGCTATTAAATGCATCATTAGCATCATGCGCTAAGTGTCGGTGTGAGTGCATGCACTGTGGCACCACGGTTTAGTGGGGCTTTTTAGTCTCAGGCTGACGCCCACTCTGCTCTCATCATGCAGCCCACTCACCGACACATCCTACTAGGTGGTTCAATGGATCCGCACATTAGCGTACGTTGTGATGCTACATCTCTATTCTTTTGATCATCTCATATGCCTCACTTCTTTGCCTTTTAACTCTGGTCAGTCTGTTGTCATAGTAACCCAGCTAAATAATAGCACAAACACTGTATATTATATATATATTTTAATCCTCTGATCACCTGATATAATCTGATTACAGGATAAGTGGTCAGGAATAATAAATGGGTGAATGTTTTGGCATTTAACTCTGAGTCATTAACGCTTTTAAATGACTTGCAATCAGCATTAAGCTTCCATCTCATTAAATTAACTCAATTTGGTGTTTGATTTTATAGGAACACATATTCCTCTTTGTAGCTGTTCGGTGTTTGTGCATGGAGACGATTGCAGGGGCCCCAAGTCTGACCACTGAGAAACATGCAGCATATTGATCCATGTAAAACTGCAGAAAAAACACCCTCAGGGGTTTTCTGCTTTACATCTGGATGCATAACTGGTGTAGTTTATGAGAAACTTTCATTTTGCCCCTTTAACCAGTCCTGCTAGTCTTGCCTTTGGATTTATCTTCACTCTTTCACCATGTCGTACATTTTAAACGTTGGCCTACATGACATTTCACACCATTTCATTGACCTCACCTATTTTCATATTTAAAAAAATGGTATAAATCCTCATATCTGACACATAATTTAGTTGTTAGTTGTTAGGAATGCCATCCTTTGTGGCTGTGTGTTTGCATAAAACAAAGTTTTTGCCCCAAAAGACCAACACTATATGAATTAAAGGTTGATGAAACTTTGGAAACTGTTTCTGTGGTTGATCTAATGGTAATTGGCTCAAAACTTGAAATTAAAGATGCATAAGGAGCCATTTCTGTAGAATCATAAAGTATAAGTGGTGGGAGTAATATACAGAGAGGATTGAACTAAAGATTTATGTCTTTGTTTGTTTTTAAGAGGTTGTTAGACGATCCCTTCAGGTTCCTTTTGTTCTTAGAGTTCTGGAGATTCATGGCCATCAAAGGAGAGCTGTGACCTTTTTAAGAAACAAATCATTAAATTCTTCAGCATATGAGACTCATTTAGCCTCCTTACCATTTTGTGATTAGTTCAAATTGACCTTTTCTGTGGTATGAAAAATCCGTCGTAAAACTTTTCACTAATTGTGGAAATAAAAAGCAATAGCTTTGTCCAATTCTAGAATGTTTATCAATGGGAACATTTTCCTTTAAAATAGTTTATTTATTAAGACTATAAATGTGACATGACACCTGTGCAAAATCTTATTGTTCACTAATTAAGGACTAAATCTTGCTTGCAGCATAAATCTAGATTAAAATTTAACCCTTGAGTGGGATTATGACAAATTTTAAGATTAGCTTGCATTTCCCTCCCTGCAGAAGAAGCTTTGGTCCCATAGATCGGGCTCATGAAGGCAACTTTTACATTATTTTGTTAGTTTTTTTCTGCCTCTAAAATGTTCAGCAATGAATTCTGATTTAAAATCCTGGTTTTGTCTGAGGAAAAGTGGGAGGCGCTAAGGAGAGTTTCCCTGTCTGACAACCTTCGATCACTTCTTGTTCAGTTGTTGGTAACCAGGTTGTGTCGACTGACACTCTTTGTATGTGACTTTTGCATTTCATGTCCTATTTTATCCTTTTTGCAGCTTTAAATAACCATTTTATAACCATGTGCATATCTGATGCGTGTTGGTTTATTTCACATTGGTTTATACTTCCAATTTGTAGGACATGCAAATAACTAGCCTTGTGAGACCACCCTGATCTCGCGAGCTTTCAAGATTTCACTCGCTAATCAGTCTGGAGACTCTCCGTTGAAGAAAATGTGGAGCTGTTCACCAAACGAACGTCCAATCAGCGTTGGCTTTGAGGCGGGTTGAGGTGTGACGCAACAAGAAGCGCGACAGTTCAGTCTAAAGAACATGGCGGCTTCAGCCGATGAAACTAGCCTTAGCGTGGCTATCGAGCAAGTTTTATCGGAATTACAGAGTATTTCTTCACTGAAAGAAGAGCAAAACACTGCTCTGGAGGCTTTTCTCAGAGGAAAAGATGTTTTTGCTCTTCTCCCGACTGGTTTCGGCAAGAGTTTGATTTATCAATTGGCTCCTCTTCGTCGTCGCTCTGTTAAGTCATATGCTTCGTTCATCTGATTGGTTTATTTGGCCCGTCTATCACCAACATAGGCCAATCAGCTAACCAGTATTTTCGCCCCTTCCCAAAATTACTTCTACGGAAGGTTTCCAGATGGATATTCGGAGCAAATCCATCTGGCGGAGTCAGGTTATAAAATAACCGCCTCACCTTTCTGGACTGATGTGAGTTTCAGCTGAAATCTATCAGCTTGTTCTTATATTTAGTTGTTTATTTGTCTCCTTGCAGGACACACTGAAGCCAACATTCACTGTTGCCAATCTACCTGGTGCTACGAGCAGCGCCCAGTCCACCGTACCCACCACCTCCACCACCATGCAGGTGAGCACCGGGGCTTCATTTCCCATCACCAACTACCTGGCCCCCGTCTCGAGCAGCAGCAACATCAGCGCCAACGGGACGGTCCTAAAGACGGCTGGGGGCTCCGCGGGCGTCATGCAGCTTCCCAGCGGCTTCACCTTCATGCCCGGTAGGTTTAAGCATCACGTCGTCAGCATTCAAACCTTTTCATGTTTTGCCCTCGTCCTCTCCCTCCATGTTTGGTTAATGTCATTGCGCAGTGGTGCTTATTAGCTGATTAGAATCTGAACGGCACCGCAGCGTGATGGCCATCATCCTGAGCTGGTCATGCCTCCCTCCCTCTCAGCTGTTCACATCACGCTGCGGCTCTTTATACTGAGCCACAGACACTCAGGTTTTACAAAGCCTGCTGTATCCAAGGGAAACACGTCGTCTTTTGGCGATGGGCCCTACCTTTGATAGTCAGATGGGGACATGAATAAATATGTGAGAGGGACACAAAAGACCTGGTAAAGTGGGCTGATGAGCAAGGCACATAATTAACCATGAATATTCAGTTGAGTATCTGTGGCCTGTGTTGAAATAATAATTAAGACATGCCAGGGTCAAATCTTTACTGTTCCTGAACCTTTTTAATACAGGGACACCAACTCTGTACCTCATCAAGTCTATGAGACATTTTCTGGTTTGGAAATCCCTAGATCCTAAATGGTCACTCCAATGTTTTTTCTTTACTCTTCCTTTTTAGGACCAGTTTACATATAGTGACTAGCAGGAGGTCACAGAGACTCACTAGATAAAGTTATGCAAATTCCCTGCTTTCAAACTTTTCTAGATGAAAGTAGTCTGGGGCTAGGAGTTTCAGATTCCTCTGGGGTTGGTTGAGCTGAGTGGTTAACCCTTTCTTGCAGTGTTCTGACCTGCATGGGGCTGAAGGTTTCTACTTTATCTTAAATAATACTAAAGTTGACTTTTTATGGTGGGGATTAGTCCAAAGGGAGAGGGCAATCCCTTGTTCTCTGTCTTGCTTTGTGAAAGGACTGCAGGATACAGGCTTTTTTTTTGTTATCTTTGTTTTTAATTACTGCCACCTGTTGGAGTGGGGGTGTAGTGCCGTTTTGACTACTTGCCCATATGTCATCAGGCTGAATCCAATAGGCTACGTTCACACTGCAGCCTGAAGTGACCCAAATCCAATTTTTTGGCCCATATGCGACCTGGATCTGATCTTTTCCTGACAGTCTGAACAACACAGGTCTGATTTTTTTTCCAATGCGACCCAGGCCACTTGGCCATGTGGTCCTGAATCCGATACGAATCTGATCTTTTCAAATGCGACCTGTGTCTGAACAGCCAGGTTGCATTCATCCGGTCTGAACGCCATTAATACCCAACAACGGTCTCTATTCTGGGTCTTTCTATGAAGAAGCAGCAAGAAAAACTAAAAACATGGCGAACGATGATGCAGAGAGCTTTATTTATGTTTAACCATCCTGAAAAGATTCTGTTTTATGGTTGGGAAAGATTGCTAGATGCGCTCCAGCTCTAACATCCATGTTTACTTCCATAAACACAGAGCACACTGACTTGTGATGTCATTACATACTCTACTGTGCATGCGAAACACTTGCGTTGTATGAATGTATTTCACACAGATCACATATAAGTCGCATATATTTGGAGATGTGACGTAACAAACGTAATTGAGCATCAAGTCCTGCAGTGTGATCGCAGCCATAGTTGGATAGATACCAGGGTGTGTTAGAGTAGTAGAACAGGAAGCGCACAAAATACATGTGATACTTTACCTAAAGATTAAGATAATTCCAGGGATTCAAATTCTCTGACTTTTGATCTAAAATTGTGGGATCTTTCATTTACAAAGAGTAAAAAACACCAGTGAATTTTATTTATTAATAATTTTTCAGCCACAGTTCACATTTAAAAATTTAGGATATTGAATTTCTAAATAACAACACAGTTAATTGTGCTACAACAAACTGAAATGCACTGGTTTTTGTTTTTTTATGTTTGTGGTAATCACTTTTTTTTCAATGAAGTGGATGTGTAGATATGCTTAAAGTTTTAACCTGGTGCTATTTTGGAGAAAATGTATATTTTAAACATATTTAGATCATTTATTATGAGGTGATCTTTTATGCCACAAGTATAAAATAAAATCTAGTTTAAGCTTGTGGTTTAATTTAAGTTTATTTTGTAGAAATGTGAATGAAATATAGTGGAGTAAAGTGCAGAATGTCTACTTTTACTTAAAAACTAATGTTCTCATGATTTTAAAAGGTTCTGCTGTGGTGATGGTACGATGCTCCGGAGGGGTTTCTTTATGCCGGTTATCTGTTCCTGTCATGGACAGAAACCTGTTGCTCTATAATGGATAATTCTGACTGATGGGGGAACGACACAAAGCACTCGTCTCTGCACCCTTTGCTCAGATTTGTGTCCCTGTTTTTTTTTTTTTAGTTTTCATTTGCTGGCTTTCTCTCCCTTTGCAACCTCGTCCCTCTGCTCTCTTGCTTGCTGCCTGCTTCCTCTCTCTCCTTCACCACCTGTCTGGCACATGGCAGCAGTGCCAGGTGGAGCAACACACACACATGCTCAGCGCACCACAGTTGACAGCTTGAAAAGGGCCTGCCCACCCTGCTGCAGCAACTGCATATGGAGCATAAAACCAAATGTGGAGAGAACCACTTCAGAATCCTGTGCTCTTTACCTTCTCAGAAAATGCTGCAGAAATGTTTCAAATGAATCTGATTTGTTGAAAAACAAGAATTGCTGTACAGATCTTGATTAGTCATTTGTTATTTTATCCTGTTCTGTGCATCTCTGGGATTTTTTTTCAATCTTTTCCTTCTGCCAGAAACCTTTTGAAGGCCACTAAGAGGCAGGGAGCGGAGGGGGAGGACAGATTTGTTTAAAAGGACAACAAGCCTGAGTCAGAGGAGTTTCAGGCTGTTCTTCTCATCCACAGTTGGTGTGACTGGTTGCTCTTTGCAAGCAAAGTAAACCTTTACAGCTCAGGATCTTAAACTTGGGTGTTGGACAAATCTTTTAACCTTTTTGAAAAAGCTGTTTCAATTAAAACTGCAGTTCATCTGATAAATATCTTAGTAGGTCACCTTTTCTAAAGAAAGATGGAGCCATTTTTATTAGAGAAGCACCCATCTTCAAATCGTTTAACTTTGAAACGTCATACTGAATATTTATTTTACCATCTTTAGGCGTAATAAGTACTTATTTTTGCTTTAAAAATGAATGAGGGAAAGATAAACCAACCACATTATCATTAAAAAAATATATATTCTCCCATTATAAAACAACTCCATCCATTAAAATAAAACTAAAACTAGGGAGAAACCAGTATAAAATGACAGCTACACTGGCAGGAGCTCGTAAGGATGCTCTTATTGTTGTAGGTTGGTTGCCATTCATTCGTCCAAATAAATGATCCCACTTACTCCTCACTTCCTGTCAGTCCTGGATGATTTGGGTTTGCAGCCAACAGCCTGGTGTTAACCATTTGTTGCTTTGGCAGATACAGTAATAGCGGGTTAGTTACGGGGTAAAGATAAGTTGTTGGAGTTTAAGGTGCTTTTCCAGCTTTAACTTCCCAGCCTGCTGGTGGGGGGGGATCATGTTGCTTTATTTTTAAGAGTATCTCTAAGCACTTTAAGGCACTTTTGTGTTTCAGAACAGTGAAACAGGATTTCTTGTTTTTAAAGAACTATAGTTTTTAACCCATGTGTATTTGTGTGCGTGCCCCTGCAGCAGGCACTCCTCTCCCCCCCAGCACCCCCACCATTCCTCTGAGCCAGCTACAGCAGCACTTTCTGGCCCTCCAGGGGCAGCATGGTCAGACCCTGGCCGCCACCCCGAAGCCACAGCAGGGACAGCAGGCTGTCCTCCGCTTCCCTGCTGCTGTCTCCCTCACAGGTGATCTGCTCTGCATGCTGCCACAGCGCCTGCCTCTGCTTATCACTATCATTCCTTCATAAAGCTGCTGCTTGCACACTGCTATCCCTACTTCATCTGCTAATGTTCAGTCATCTAATGCTAGAGTTACCCAATCCACGTGCACGAGGACTTTCTCTAACGCTGCTAATGGTACTGATGTGAACTAGTTCTTAGCTGCTGTTCCCTCCTGGGTCGGATCCAGTCCAGATGTTGCAGTGGCTTCATGCCGTTTGTGTGTATCTACAGGAGCAGGGGTTCCTCAGCAGCTCCAGGCCATCCAGGTCCATCCCAACACACAGCCCACCTCCACCAGCGACAGCAGCCCTGAGATCTCTCACACCTCCACCAACTCCACCGGTAGGTTTTACTGGCGTTTAGTGGCTTTTGGGAGCATTGATGTCAACTGGGAGGGAACCCAATGTATGCAACGTCTTGCAAAAGTATTTAAACATCCTGAGCATTTTCACATTTTCTCATGTTATTTTATTGCTTTTTTTTAGGTGATTTTTTTGAAAAATGTATGCAAAATAATTAAAGCTGAGACAGGCTAAATGAAGAGCTGAAATATTCAGCCTTGTTGCATTAATTGTGATTGTTTATTGAAAAAATTACTAACTAATTTAGTAATAGGAGTATAGAGACTGTAAAACATGCCTTTAGCTGACAGAGCTGTAAAGTTACAGAGCAGTAACTATACCAAGATTGTAAAAAATATATCAACATTTTAGCATTTAAGATAAAATATAATAATTTCTGTTAATATGCTCAATCCAGAGCTCCTCAAATGGAAAACTTTTAGTTTCACCTGTTTAATTTGGTTTCATTTTGCAAAAAGTCTTTAAAGGCTTTTTAGCTATCCGATTATTAATCGCTTAATCAGAAAAATAGTCAACAGATTAATCAATTTGCAAAATAATCTTTGGACGCAGCCCTCAGCAGCAACTGGAGTCAGTTTGGTTCCACTGAAAGCGACGCTTTCTGTTTCTGAAGCATCTCAGAAGCACCGGCAGCTTCTCTAAAATAGGCGGCTGTTCTATTTCTGCAGCTTGGATTCCACGTTGATCTGGAGCAGAGCAGATGATTTGGGCAGGAAGTCGGTTGATGAAAGGCAAAGTGGATCAGGTTGGGTTTATGAGTAAAAGACTACAATGTGCAGACTGTGGATCTTATTTCCTGGACTTTTATGTAATAAGAAAAATGTCCATACAGGTAATTAACAGCCCTAATAAATAGGACCATATAGTTGAAAGAATAACAACAAAAAAATAAACAAAGTAAATGAACTCACTCACTTACTCATGATGGAAGAAAAAAATTTTAGTAGTTAAATAAAGAGCAGGTCTGGGAAACTCTGGTAAAACTGGTTTAAAATCCATATTTGCTGGTTTATTGTTCTACTTGAACAGTTCACTACTATAGTGGGGTGATGCAATCCTGATGGGATCTGAGTCGCTGCCAGCTCCATGTCTCACACCCACTGTGCAGCGTTAGGTTCCCACCAAACTAAGAAGCTCTGATGGGTCTCAAATCTCCAGTCAAGCTTCCTGTTTACAGATGATCCCACCTGAGCTGTGAGCTCTGCAGCTCCTCCAGTTACAATCAGCCCCATGTCTGATTCTTTGAGTCATGCTCTCCTTGTTCGGCATGTCTCTGCCCTACTCCATAGTCAGATATTTGGTGCTGCTTGAGACGTTTAAAGCTTGGAATCTTGTTCTCTAATCTAACTCTGCTCCATTTCTCAGTCTTCATAATGTTTTCTAACAAACCTTTCAAACTTTTACAGAACAGGTGGAATCAGGCTGAGATTGAATGGCAAACATGTAGCCTCTATTTGCACTGGATTTCATTTAGGAGTGAAAGGAATACTAAATGCAAAAGTACAATTTTCAGATCTTTGTTGGTCTGTCACAATTATAACACTTTTTAGGTTGTGATGTGAAAAAATATGAATGCTAAGGGAGTATGAATACTTTTAAAAGGTACTGGCAAATCTTAAGAAGTGGAAATGGGAACAGTACTGACTAGGAAGTTGAATTTAAGATCGATGCGCCATCTGCTGGCCTACATGTGCACAACCCCTCATGCCTTTAGAGTCTCTGTATCTCCCACAGCAACGGTGAGTCTCCCGGCAACCATTGTCACTTCGTCCGTGCCAACGTCTGTACCGGGTCACATGATGTACCCCAGCCCTCACACAGTGATGTACGCTTCCACGCCGACGCTGGCCGACGGAGGGCTGGCTGTGCTCAACGCCTTCTCCCAGGGAACCTCGGCCATGCAGGTGTCCCACGCGCACAGCCAAGACTCAGGTTAGAGACGATCCACGTCGTTTTAACTGACTTACCGGGACTCGGAGATGAGAAAACCCTGTTTCTTTTCTCCTCCCAGGTGCTGTCCCTCAGGTGTTCCTCACAGCACCTCCGGGCACGGTGCAGATCCCTGTCTCAGCAGTGCAGCTACACCCAGTACGGCAAGATCTGCATTTCACAAGTGAAACTCTCATATTCCCTATGCAACCAGCATGCCACCTTGACGTCACTGATGCATCTTAACAGCACTGGCACACAGGCCGCAGGGTCACCCCCTGTTTGGTCCTTTTTTTATTTCTATGAATGTGGAGTGGTCAGCTGGCATCTTGTTGATTTTTTTCACGCATTAGCCCTAATATGCAGGTGCATCCTGGTAAAATAGAATTCTATCAACAGGTTGAATTGTTTAAATAATCTTGATTTATTTCTTAATTTTTTAACAAACACTTTTTCTGTTATGTAATTACATTTTTTTAAAGAAAATTAGAGGCTTATAGGTTTAAACCAAGCCACAATAATCAGAATTAAGATAAACAGCTTAAAATATATCCCTGTGTGTGTAATGTTTCTACATAAAGTCACCATGAAAAATACAACCCCAAACTAAAGCAGCAATAAAAAAAGGAATAAGAAATAAAAAGCTTAATTCAGTGCATTAAAATAACTGCCTTTTTGTCCGTAAAAAACATCCCCCTTAGACCCCACTGAATAATGAACCCACACTAGAGCAGGACTTTATTTCTTTGTTACGGAAGCCGAGAGCGATCATACTCGACTTTTTTTTCCCCTTTACCTTCTTGAGATAATGACATAACTATTTCATTGTCACAGTTAAACAATTAATTTTCTCGAGATAATGAGATGATTAACCTGAATGAGGCCGGCCAACAGCCCTGGATTCCCAGTCCATCCATGCCTGCTGTGCCTGTAGTTGTTCAGTTGCGGTACCGCATGTGCAAATCAGTTTTTTTAGTTTCCTATTTCTTTTCAATCATTGTCAGGTCGTGGTGGATGATTTGATTGCATGGAATACAGTAGAAACAAATCTGACTTTTTTTTTTTTTATGAAAATCTTTCATCTGGACTTATTTTGGGGCTTAATGCATCTTATACCTGTTACAGGCGTAACAGCGGGGCTGTTCAGAAAACACCTGGCTCTATGGCGCCGGAGGCATAGGTCTAAATGCTTATGAATCAGAAGTGGAAGCAAATCATCAAACCAACAACGTTGTCTCATTACCTGAAAGTTAAACACAGGATGATTTAAAGAATTACACATAAGCTGCCATGACTTATAAATCCTCTCCCGCTGTTGTGGTATTGAAGGATGTAATCAGTTTTAACACACACCATCATCTCGTTATCTCGAGAAAACGGCTTTCGTTATCTTTAGATAATGAGAAAAATAACTTGTTTTTGCGAGAAAACCAGTGAAAAAGTATCTAAAGGACATGACCGCTCTCAGCTTCCGTATTTTTTCAGTTGATGGTGGAAACGCCTAATAAAACAAGAAAAATGCATCAAATAAAGTTTTAATTTAATCCAACTTTTAATCCAAAAAATTAAAAGAGATGAATTTACCTTTAAACAAGATAAATGTTTAGAAATGATTCAGGAAATAATAACCGTATTTTTCAGACTATGAGTTGCTACTTTTTTACCACACTTTGAACCATCCTGCTTTATGTGAAGGTGCAGCTTTTCTGTGGATTTCTCTTCAACCATCGGTGGGCGGGGTCAAAGTTGGAAATCAAAGAAGAAAGCGCTCATTTTCATCAGCAGGCACGATGGGGAACAAATGTCCCAAATTCATACATTTTGACATTTATTTGCCGCATTAAAGCTGTGAAACCAATAAAGAGACTGGGCTTAACTCCTGCAGAGCTGAAATAAAGAGCTAACAAAGCCCCATCTTTCATTAGACTGCTGTTTTAGTTCCCTCCATACAAGACAGCCTCAAAAGATATATTTAACGCTCTTCAATTTCAAGAACCTACAATTAAAGTATAATGTACATTTTAAAATTTGAGCACATTAACAGAACATTTAGTGGAAGGAAGACCTATAGTGGACTAAAACTATTGCAAAAACATTACTGTATTGTATATCTTTTTTATTTTAAATCTTATTTAATATGAACAAAAAATTGCCTGTCATATTAATATAAATATACACCTCAGACATGTAAGCCTTTGGTTCAACCAAATAAGTGCGTTACTATTTTAATTAAGCATATTTTATCTGTCTTTACAGAAAAAAGCCACACACAGGAGGAATAAAAAAAAAATGGATTAAAGTTTGGCTTGCCTACATTCATCCAATTACTTAATAGATACATTGAAAAATACATATAGATAAAACACATTTTTCTGATTCAGGGAATCTGGGAAACTGTTATAATAGTGTGGAATATTCTTTCCCTTTATATTTAAATCTTTCAAGCCCAAAAAAATTGTATGACATCTCTTATGGTGTTTTTGGCAAAAAAAATAAAAATATTGGAAAGTTTAGTGGAAGGAAAACAGACATTTCTGTAGGAAGTCGTCTTTTTAAATATCGATCTACAGATTTTATCGGGAGAGTTTGGACGGACTGTAAGGCAGAGCATAAAAATCAGTTTAATGTATGAATAAGAACTTTTTTAGTAGATGAACTTTTTGATATTATTCTAATTTATGGGCATGCGCCTGTGACACCTCATAGCAGTGCATGTCTAAAGTAGTTTGACCTAATTGCTAAGTATAAAGCTTATTATTATTTTTAATATTTTGATAATTCATTGGTAAATCTTGTGAACACAGAGAAACGTTACTGTGGGGTTAAAAGCTTCAGCATCCGTTGCTTTGCAGCAGTCTGTGGATTAGCTGCAGGATCTCCATCTGCGCTGGCTGGCGTGTGACGCCTTGACCTGTGATTGGCTCTCCAATCTGCTCTCTCTCTCCTGACATTTCCATTTTTATTTTTATTTTTTTGTCCCCTGCAGATGGTGATTGGACAGCAGTCGAGCGGCAGCAGCAGTAACCTGACGGAGCTCCAGGTGGTTAATTTGGATACAGCACAAAGCTCGAAGGGAGACTGACAGACGGCTGGAGCTGTTTAATATGGCAGACCCAGGGACACACACACACACACACACACATCTCTATTTATTGATGCCTTCCTATTAAATTACCATCACTCTTCTGAATGTGATTTATCAGTATATATATAAACACGATGAAGGGCATATGTGTGGCAGGCCCTTAATATGAAGTAAGTTTTGTTTTTTTGGTATATAAATATATATATATTTGCAAATACATATGAGATAAATCACTATATTATAATTGGAGCCTATTTTCTACGCTGTTAGATGGTGTTTTTTTTTTTTTTTAGTGTGAGCTTTGTTTCAGTTTGACAAAATGTATTTACACACAGAGACTGCGACGTGCCACCAGCTTCACACCAGCCAAAGAGACATTTGTTTGTCTGAATGTTCCTGTGTGAGCCATCCGTGCACAAGCATGTGCCTGTGTGTACACACATCTGGGGTTTTGTAAACGGGGCAGGAAGTCTCTTCCTGCCTTAAAACTAAACAAAATAATAATAATAAAAAAACATTTGGAAATGTAAATAGTTTTTAAAAACAAAATAACAAAGTTGTATTTTTAGCTCGGTTCAGTTTGTGCTACAGCATGTTTTTTTTTTTTCTTCTTTTTTTACGTGATATGTTTTATATGTACATGAAAAGACTTGCATAGAGAAACTGAATTATTTACATGGACATGTAAAATAATTTAATGCATCATCCGTCACTACAAGATGGAGACAGAGCGCTGGTATCTATGATTTTCTGTGCATTATTATTTTTTTTTTTCACATTTTGAGTTGAAGTTTTTCAAATCATGTAACTTTGTCAGTGAAGGTATAACACTTATATTTGACTGCTAATATATTCTTTACTTTGGTAGAGAAGATTTCAGTACTGTGCCCTTGTCTGGAAATGTTCGACTTTGACAATCGGATACAATCCTTTGCCACCTAAATTTTTTGTTTGGTTTGTAAAAAGACGTACATCATTGGTTAAAAATATGTAAAAAGCCTTAAAATATTTTATTGCTGCAGCATGAAATGTTTTGAAAAATCCTGCCTTAAATTGACAGATTTGGACATATTTTTCAAGGTTTCCCATGAGCCACTGGGCCCATAGCATGACCGATCCTCCACTTTACTTAACACAAGGCATGCTGTGTTTGTTTGTTTTTTTCTCAGAGCAAAGCACACGGTTCCTTTAATGTCCAATAAAATTCCTCAAACTGCTCTTCGATATTTTCTATTTTAAAACCTGAAGGGGTGTTTCATAAAACTGGCTGGGTTACTTAGTCAGGCTTATTCTGGCTTGTTGTCATTTGGGTTTCATAAAACCGGCTAACTGTTTGACTTGGTTACTATGGCAACTGACCCAGTAAACTCAGCTTGACCAGGTGCAGAGCCGACTAAATTTAAACTCTGAATCCAGCACTAGATTGAGTATTATCATTTGGCCTTAATGCATGATGTCATCAAAAATGGCTACAAGTTATGAGCTTTTGTAAATATAGAAGGTATAAAGGCAGCATATCTGAATATTTTTTTTTTCCCCACCTTGTTTAAAGATGTTTGCCTAATCCAGAAAAGGCATCCTCACCCAGGATGCGTCAGAGACTGTCGAGGAGGTCGTAAAGGAGGGGGCAGCACCCTGTTTCTACATTATTCATTTTTAATTTACCACCTTAACTGGTACACAGCTTAAATCAAGCCCTTATTTTCTCTGCATAGGCCTGCCTTTCCTTTGTGGTAGGGTAAAATAAATCAATGGTGGTCCTCCCAAAGTCTGTCACTGTTTTTTTTTTTTTGGCTACAATGTAAATAAATAGCCCAGATTTCTAGTGCCTAAATCTTTTTGTTGCCTTGTCAAAATAACGATCAGAGTTGAGTTTTTTGTACTTTCTCACCTGTTTCCAGGTGCGTATGTCGCCACTAGTTTTACTGAAAGAGTTAAATGTAGAACATGTTAATTTCACAGACTGAAATCTGAGTCTTTACTGGCTGCAGTTCATGGGACTGAAAAAAAGTATTTGATTAAAACAAACACTATAGGCTTACACTTAAGTGAAATGTTTACATACCTGATTTAATTTGGATGTGTCTTGAAATAATGTGTAGAATAAGTGACAATTTACGTATTTAACCTTTCCCTACTTTTTTATTTTTCAATTTAAATGTCTGAACTCCTGATTCAGTGAAACTCGGTGTGAGTTCACGTATCGCCGTGGTTTCTCATTGAACTCCGTGATCAGCTGCACGGTCTGCTTATGTGTGCTGCAACACTGATAAGTTAAACCTGTCTCATATCAGTGACATTAAGCAAACGAGGCGTCCTTTTCCCGAAACCAAGTAATCATGACTTGACACATTTTACCTTCGCTGAGTCAGAGTTGGGTTTCCATGTCTGGCTTTTCTGAGTGAGTTTTATGAAACCCCCCCTCAGCTGTTTCCTGGGATTAATTGGAGGAAATGGTGACACTAAAATCAGACTCTTTGCTGCAACACTGAACCCAAAGTGGAGTTTTTTTTAAATCCTTTCTTTGACTCTGTGGCTGAGCTGAACGCAGATCCTCATCCTTCCTCGTTTGAATCGGTTCCATTTGATTTGCTGTTCTTATTGATGAGATCGTTGGTAAATGCTTCCTTGAAGTCATTTAGTCTTAAATTAAAGGCATAACTCCCTTTGGAAATGTTCTATACTTTTCATGCTGCAATTAAAACAGTTTAAGGCTTTCTGCTGATCATTACCATGGTTATATAAATGCAACTCATTCAGAGCGTGCTGATTTATTTCCAAATGCTACTCTAGTTGCCCTCATCCATATCCAGGTGTTTAAGTATCAAGTTGGTTAAAAAGATGGTTTTCTATGTGAGGACAATGATCACATTATTAGGGATTATGTCATGAGGGGCTTTAAAATGTTAAAGAATTGTAAAACCTTAACTGAGTCGATCTGAGTTGAAAACCCAGACTATGGTTTTCTTTCTGCACCGTAGTGCCTAAAATCAGAAGGCAGATTTTGAAAGCAATGCAAGGCTATAGGAGCGTAGGATATTTCTCTGACGTGGCTTTGGACCTGTGGCCCTGTAAACTTCATCTGAACATGAGATTAGCAATTTCTCCAGAACTGGTGGGAGGACGAGACTTGAAAGAGGAAATAATCATCCCGTCCTGCTGTCCGTTAGCAGAGGAACGCTACAGTACAAGTTACTTTCACGTCTTTACTCTGGTACTCATTAGGAAATGTTTATTTTTCAAAGATTGAACAGAGCTTGTGTTTTACACCTTGTTGAAAGAAATTGTGTATTTTTGTGGTATTGTACAGACATTTTGTAATAAAAAAAAGATGAAACGCAAACGATCACATCCGCTGAGAGTTGAACATTTTATTTTATTGTGGGAAACAGAGTATAACTAAAACCATTCTGTTCTTTTTTACCGACCCCGAAAAAGGTATAACAGCAGCTGATGCTTAAATGAAGTGATACAGTAGGAGAAAATACCTTAATGTCCAAAATAACTAGCCATGAGTTAAAGATATGACGATGCAGTGATCAATAGCAGATCTGATTATAATGAATCCTATTCATCTTCATACATCCGTAAAGCCTACAGGAGCATCTTGGTCAATTTGGAAAATTGATGTATTTAAATAACTCTGTTCAAAAGGGGAAAGTTTTTATTTCTTCATTGTGAATAGAATTTAAAACATTCTTTTAGAAAATTTAAATATACATTAGAAGATAATTACTGTATGTAAATTGATGAAAAATTTAGTGGAAGGAAAAAGTGGCACAGATGCGTTTAAAGGTGTGTCAGTGGCAATATTCATGACATTTAAATTATATTAAAGTAAAAATACTTTTGACACTAAAGGATTTTATAAAGGAGTGTAGCATTATGTGCAGCTATGGAAAGAAGGCTGACCTGACCGTATCCAGCAGCAGTGGGTACCCTGATAAAAACAGGCTATTGGAAGCTGGTTTGTGTTTTATTCAATCTTAAGGTTAGTAGGATTACGTGCGGTAAAAAACAAAAACTAAAAGGTAACTGCAGCCTTGGAGGACTGTCAGGCTAAAGCCCATTCGAGTTTTTTTGGAGCTTAGGAATGCATCTGTGTTGGGTACCGACTATAACCCAGTTTATTCCTCAGACTGATGTGGATTTGTTTCACTATCCTCTCAGTTTCTCCTTCCACCTGACTTTATCAATAAGCATGGATACAGCATTGTCAGCAGCCATCTTGGCTATAATCAATCGTTTAGGATCCAAGTCACCGTCTGAAAGTGAGTTAATTTTTGCACTCAATTACAACTTTAAGATATTTTATTTATAAAGATGCGCTTGTAGCAGAGTCACAATAATCCACAGTGTTTAATAAGGCATCTTCTTTTCCTACCAGCTTCCTCCCAAACCAAAGTGCTGACGGCTCAGAACAAACTTGGCTGGACTGTCCCTTTTCTCTCTCCGTACGCTGAAAAATAATTGCTTCAAGCATGCATTTTCACCAGGTAGTATATCTAACACTATTGTACACATACAATATACAAATGTACACCAGAAATTGGAAAACAGTTGATAAAAAATGTGCATGATTAACAATTAAAAAGAAAAGGTTCAACATTTAAATAGAAATGTTACACCAGGGACACACCAGCTTTTTTCCCCTACCCATCTGTTTTGGTTCATGTAAAAAACACAAAAACAAACTAGAATTACAGCAATGTGCAAATCTGAATTCATGCAAGCAGTTTGCATAATGTAGCTTAGGTGCAAGAGTGATGATTTTAGAGAAAGAAGCAAAAATAAAGACTACAGAGGAGATACGGTACTCATGGCTTCGATGAATAACACTGTTCATTCTTATCAGCATCACAATAACAAACAAATTTCCTCCCATCTGGGATCAAATGAAAACAAAAAGCAGATTAAGGAGCATTTCTTTAAACAGGATTATAAATTACAAACATAAAGGCCACACAAACGACCCATTCCAACAAATGACAGCACCGCCAAGGATGAACAAGTAATACTGCAGCACCTCACAGGAAGTCATGATGACCCACAGAGGAGGTTTAAATTGTTTTTACTGAAGTTGTTTACATTTTTTTCTCCACAATTCCAAGTTTTTTTGTTACGATATCAGAGCAGGCCTTTTTTTTTTATCCTCCCCAAACATTTCCTCACCTTCTTCTGTGCAATGTCAGTCAGCTGGCTAAAAGAAAGGCTTCCATACTTTGACCTCCTCTGCTGTTACTTACGGTCAACATTAGCAGCTATAGAGCGCCATCTTTTACTTCTGCACACTGCCTTTCAGCCTGCTGAAATAGGTTAGTACACTTTTCAAATCAAGTTAATCTACTTTGAAGTCCTTTTAGTTGTTTGAACCATCTGCATTTTTGGTGATGCAACCATTACTGGGAGCAAAGGCTCTCTAAATCTACTGTGCACTGCTGGTCAGCTGGATGAGATGAGATGGCTCCACTTTAAATGAATGGAAAGATCAATTTCGTTGTTTAGAAATCTTTTTAGAAACTAAAGGAGCGCCCTCTAGTGCTTATATTGAGGTAATGAAATTAGATTTTTTTTTTTGCACTAACCTTTAAACAAACTCCTTGTTTAAAACCCAGTCTAAGTCTAGTATTCCTATTTTTTTCATTCCAAACTAAAATTTATTTTCTCATTATTTCCAGATTTCTCTAATCGTTGTTTTTTAGCGCCGTTTTATATATAGCTATATAGAAAAAGATCAAATAAAATTGGATTAAATTTACACGTCAATTTCAGCTACCATTAAAAAAACTAAATCTGCATATAAGATAAGTATGAGCGACCCTCTGCTTCTTTTTTCCCAATCAGTTTACAAAGTCTAAAAATTCCTGCGCTCACCCACGCCTCCATCTGTCGCTACATCTATGTCGAGTCATCAAACATCTACAGGTTCTTACATGCAGCTGAACTCCAAACTTGACCTGGTTAACAGTGAAACTGCTGACATCGATGAACAAGGCGGCTGCAATCTTTACAAAGTGTTAGCAGCTCGGACCAAATTTGGGGGATATGAGTTATTAGGCCAATAAAGTCGGGAGAAATAAGTTTCTCCAAACTTTACTTTGCAAAATCTGGTAGAAATTGTGTTTTCATAATAAAAAGACAAAAAAAATTTATAAACTTCACGACCAGAAAACTAAAACCACTTTTAACAGCTGAACATTCTGTTTCTTTACATTAGCCTGTGAATTAAAGTCAAAATTACAATAAATAAACCTAATTTAAACTAATATAACAGTCATTTCTGAGTACATGTTCTATGTAACCCCACAGTGGGAACCTCACTATGAACACTGATGAGTAAAACGATGAACACTCGGTCTGTTGATGAGAGCCTTGTCCTTATCTTTACGATGTAACCAGTGCAGCGAAGTGAGGTCCGTGTGCAAATTGCGATGGAGGGTCACATCTTTGGGTGGCGGTAAAAGGAACGAGCATTAAAGCCAAACCGAGGAAAGACATCAAAACAAATTAAAGTTAACAGTGTCTCTGCAGTCAGTCGTTAAACCGACTCGTCATCAAAACGTTCGATTAAAAAAAAAGGCAACCTGCAAGCAAATAAAGAATAAATAAGATGACTTGGCTTTTAAAATGGGTAGAGTACATCACTATGGATGTAACTACAGATATGTTTATGAGGAGGGGGAATCGATCTTCCAGGATTTTCAGTCCATGAGGAACTAAAGGACAGAAAGAAGAAACTAGGAGGGAATCTGGAAATACAAATGTTTCTGACTGGATTCCAGACTGCGTAGGAACCTTTGCTGTCTTCAAAATGACAACATGAGATGTTTGAAAGAGCAACACTTTGCTGTAACTGAAAGGTCTGATTCCACATTAAGGCAATGACTTTTACAAACAAGGCGGCAATGTGACGAAACGAACACGCACATTTACTCCTCCATTTTAAAATTCCACGCTCACTCCAAGGTAGAAGACAGGTGGGGGGGTGGAGGGCAGTGAGAAACTGCACAGAGGTGGAAAAGAGTCCGCTGCCGTCTGCACCTCGATCACCATCCCTGTCTTCTGTCTCCTCTGCTGGCGGGGCGCCGTCTGCGCTCCCACCTTCTCAGAGGTCAGAGGAAGGGGAATGATGGGACCCGTCCATGTGGGATCCTAACAGTCTTGCAGGTGAACCCAGTTAGTGGTAAAGTTCTGCCAACCCAATGTCCCCAGCACCCTGGAAGGCCCCGGTTGGTCCTGGCCCATCCGCCTGACTGCGGCAGATGGTGGAACAGCGGGAGTTTCACAGCGTGGACGAGGCTGCTGCGTGGTATTTGACAAAGGCGATGGCTGCCAGCTCTTTGCAGAACTCCTCCAACACGATGACCCCTTCCAGCAGCGTACTGTGGTCCACCCTGTGAGAACAGACAGAGGTGAGTGTATTTATAAAGTCACTTTAAAGCACAGGCACCTCATGCAGCGTGGAGGTACGTACGTGACTCCCTCTGGCTCCAAGCCTAATAATCTCTTCCTCACCAGCAGCAGTTTGGGTGTGAAATCTGGGATGCGGTGAATCCTCAGCATTAGATCTCCAACCACCTAACAAGAATTCACAAAAACACCCACAGGTTTCTGTCACACTAGAATTCTGCACGCGAAAGAGAAGGAAAATAACACATGGTTAGTCTGTATTCCGGCAGAAGAATCCCCCAGCATGATGCGACTACCACCATGTTTCATCATGGCAATATCTCACTTCAGAGTAAAACTCTTTGCACATATTTACCAAAAGCTGCTGCTCTGCTGTTTGTTCATTGATGTTGCTGGTGAAGATTCACAGTCATCCAGGTCATAGTCATTCCAAAAAAGTGAAGAAAACAATCCACTGGACTTTGTTTCCAAGTTTAGAGACATTTCACTTCCCATCCAGGAAGCTTTTTCAATGCAAAATGTCAGGAATGGCGTTGGGTTTGAGGCTACGTACAGTAGCCCACAAAGCCTTGTTTTTGTTTTAAAAAACATGCAAATTGAAACGGACGAACAGGTCTACCACTTGGAATGGGGGTCGTTTGGCTTCTTTTGTTAGCCTACAATGCCCCTTACAAAGACATAGACAGGTATGGGATTCATTCCAACCCCCTAACAAGGGGTAGACCGGTACTCAACGCTATTCCTGACATTTTGAATTGAAAAAGCTTCCTGGATGGGAAGAGAAACATCTTCAAACTTGGAAAAAAGTGTTTTTTAACTTTTTTGGAAGTTCATTGATGTTCTTTAAAAAAAACATCTGACAGGTTTAATTTTCTAGCATTTTTCCTCTTTTCAGCTCAATCCCTCTGACAAGCTTCTCTGTTACTGCTAAAAAAAGAGAATGCTGCCACCACAGTGTTTCACTATACTATAATGATTCAGTATTATGTGTTCTTGGTTTTAGGTGATCTGTGAGGGGGACTGTTCCACTATATCAGGGGTCTGCAACCTTTCATATCCAAAGAGCCGTTTTGCCCAGAGTCCGACTAAGTAAATGTTGTTTAGAGCCACAAAATGTAACATGACTTTTTCTAGAAAACCTTATTTTTTTTAATCTTGTATAGGAAATTAGTTGTTGCCATCTCAAACAATCAACAAATCATGTATTTTTAATGTTAAAACATATAATTTTCAAGCTAATTCATAGAAAAATGTCTCTTNTAATCTCATTCTTTTCCCACTTATAAAAAACACTAAAGCTATTGATACCGGTATATATTAAAGTAAATTATTTAACTCTTTATATACATTTTAGCCACTATTAAGAGCCACTGGAGAGGGTCCAAAGAGCCATATGTGGCTCTGGAGCCGCAGGTTGCAGACCCCTGCACTATATCATTAAAGCTTATTTGAATGCAATTTATTTCTGATTTTTCTTTTTTAAAAGATTTGAAAAATGTTTCTTGGGTTAATCTGATGGATAAAATACAAATAAAATAAATGGAAAGTGGAGCGCGGGGGGTGGGGTGGGGGGGTGAAGTCTGTGAAATAAAGTAGCTGCTTCAACAAGCCTGTAAATATATAAGCAGAGTAATTCCCAGAAAAAGTTCTCCAGGTAGTAACTTTAGTTCTAGGAACAGAACTGAAGCAGCAGCAATTTTCTCACAGTTAACAAACAAATGAGGCTTCTGAAGATTTCAAGGTAGCTGCCACAAAATACAAGGAAAAAAATGATTAACTTTATCTATTCTTTATTAAAGTTTAAAAACAAATATGAAAACACCTTTTGTTTTAGGAAGACTGATATTCTCTTTTAATGACTGTGAGATTAGAGGTGCACCGATAAATGAACGTCTTACCCGGACTATGACAGAGAACAAGGACCTGCAGCCGGGGGCCAGACTGATGTAAGGGTCCAGCAAGTATTCATGCAGGTGTGGGTGTGGCAACAAAGACAACTTGGAGAGCACAGCAGTCACCTGCAGGTTTACATCGTAAGGCTGCAGGACAAAAGAAGAAAACAGTTTGATTTAACAATGCTAATGATAGCTGCATCAGACACAGACAGCACTGATTTTCCCCTAATGACCAAAAACAACATCGCTGTAAAAATAAAATTAGATTCTACAAATTACTATGCATCAATTTCATGACCATGCATCTAGTAGAAAAACACAGAAACCCATTCCCAATAATTCTTTCCTTTCATCACTGGATGGGGAGTATTTTTCCCACTACGGTCCCCTGAGGGAAGAAATCAATTCTACTGCTACATCAATCAGGAAACAAACACATATACCAATAAAATCCAGTGCAGTAAACAAGAAAAGTATGTAGGTGGCAGTATTATGCTGTGGGGTTAATTAATATGGCATCCTAGAAAAAAAAAACTGATGGAGGGTCCAAAGATCTGAGGTTTACCAGCCAGCTGGACCACATCACTAAACAGTTATAAAGGCCAATGCAGAGTTTCTGGAACCTTCGTCACGCAGACAAAAAAACAGCTGCGATTGGTCCTTGGTATGCCTTTCCGGCTGTTTCTTGCGAGTTCTCTAATTCAGTGTTTTTCAACCCTGGTCCTCAAGGCACCCTGCCCTGCATGTTTTAGATGTTTCCCAGCTTTCACACACCTGTTATCAATTGATAGCAGATTATCAGGCTTTGCTGAACTGCAATCATCTGAATCAGGTGTGCTGAAGCTAAGAAACATCCAAAACATGCAGAGCAGTGTGCCTCGAGGACCAGGGTTGAAAAACACTGCTCTAATAGGCTCCCCATTGCGCGAAACTGCTGTGCGTCCCTAAAAATTTCAGACAGATGGTGCAGAAGCATACCAGCAAAACTGGTTCGCGACAAGATCCAAGCGACATTTGATGTGTGCGGTTGCAGGAGTATAATCTGCCCTTAAAGGAATAGTTTAAATCAGTGAAGAGTAACTCTAAACCATTCTGTTCTGTAGAGACAGGTGGGGTGGAGAGAGGAGGCAGCTAAAAGCTGCAGGATAGAGCACCTCTGAAGGATTGACACCTCTGTTTTATATGTATGACCAAGAATGGATTCATCAAAGTCATGTTAGATAAATCCACCATAAATGCTTGTAGAGACAGACATTCTCCAAACAATGGTAAAAACTAAGTAGAAACCAGGTAGAATCATTTACACAATTTTGTATTTAGGGACATCAGAATAGATGGTCTGAATACAGCATTAGATATTTTTTATGAACAGAGAACCTATTCATATCCAGATTGTCTTTTTTTTTTTTTTTACAGCACTAGTGGTTTGTTTTTTTGACAGTAGTCTGACAGGAAAGAGGGAATGAGAGCGGGGGAGAGAGATGCAGCAAAGGACCACAGGTTGGATTCGAACCCTGGTTGAGTTGGCCGTGTCGAGCACTAAGGCCTTCATACATGGATCATGGGCAACCACTGCTCCACCTGCACATCCCAGATTGTCTTTTTTTGTTATCCGACAGTTAAAGCCACTTTTATATGATGGTTTCTAAAATACTTTTAACACTTTTAAGACCTTTTTATTTAACTTCCTGAATATTTCATTCATGTTCAGGTGCTGCCCTACAGACAGCAGGCCACTCACAAGCATTTACGCAATAATTTACAAAGAACTTGATTTTCGGTATTTTAAGAGAGACATTTGAACAGTTTCCTCCTTCTTCTACTTACAGACTGAAAAACGACTTTTATCTTGACATTGATCCCAACAAGAATTTAGATCATATCAAACTCACTTGATCAAGGATGCGACCCATCCTGTCAAAGAGAACCTTAAGGAAGTGACCCTCGAAGAACGGCATGTCCAAGTTACACTTTTCCAGAGGCTTTGGGTTTCCTCTCCAGTCCCACCGCTGGCAGATGCCACAAAAGTCCCTGAACTGAGGAGAGCAACAAAACGCTTGAACGAAGACAAAAAGGCTACCTCTGCGTCGGTGTCCAGGGAGGAGGGAAGCCTACCTGTCTATGTGCATCTCTGAGGTAGGTGTCATAGCCGGTGCCTTCAACGTGATACGATGACTTGGCCTCATCAGGCACCAAACACAGGAAGCTGCAGGAAAGACGGGCTAGAGTCAGAATTTTCAGGCTCAATAGAAAAGCCCATCAGGGACAGATTCAGCACCTGTTGACTATCTTGTGAACCTCCGTCTTCCCGTCAGACTTTGCGTGATCGGGACTGTGTTGGGGGGTGGAGCCAATCCAGTCGGAGCCAGACAGCCTGCTGTCTGGGGAGAGGTCATCTCCGAACAGCGGATCCTCTTCCAGATCTCTGCAGACAAGATGCAGATTTGTTCTTATTAATCGTCAGGGAACTGTTTGAGAATATCATATTTTTATGAAATGCATGCAATTCTAACCTATTTTATTTCTTTTATCAAATTATATTTTAATACCATTGGCTCAGAACCCTAATCTGAAAATGTCTGGATCTTAATTTGGAACGTTCACCAAACAGGTGCAAAACATCTGCAGCATATCAAGCAGCTGCTGGTGGAGAAACAGAAAACAAGAAATCTGGAGAGGATTTGTTCAAATTGTTTCATTAGATCTCATTAACCAACGACAAGGAAGGAGGCTAATTAATGCTCGCTGGATTTCATTCTCCCACAACTTTGAATTATGCTAAGAGGCAGCTGAGCTGCATTAGAAGCATCATTATTTAATCACAGCACCAGAGAAAATGAAAATAAACAAGCTGAACAAGTGGCAGCATATTAACAACACAGATCTGATGCATCTTGTTTATTTCCACTGTTTTATGTTTGAGCAGAAGCTCTCCAGAAAAGCTGGTTTAAGTCTGCAGGTCGTCGCAGCCGGTCCTTACACAGCATCGTGGGGCTGGCCGTTCTCCAGGGGCTCCCGCTCCTCCTGCGGTTTGTTCTCCAGGTAGTTCCTCTCCTCCAGGTTGCGCAGCACCAAGCTGTGAAGGATGTGCTGGTTGGGCTTCTGGATCAGCTGCTCAAACAACCGCAGCGTCATGATGCTGATCTGCAGACAAAAGGGGGAAGAAGTGATGTGCCAGAACAACGAGCCGAGAGTTTGTTCACTGACAAACGGTAGGCTGCCTTTGCTTTAACAATACAAAAATGATTCATCTTTGCTTTGTGTGATAGATGTGCATGAAAAACCATTCATGCTCTAATTACTGATTTTTAGCTTTCATGTTTCTCATTTCAGTAGCTAGTTATTTACCTAAACAAGCACAACTGTACAATACAAAAAAGATTTCCAATGAAAATTCTTATAAAAGGAAAATATCATTGAAAATTACAACCATATCATTCATAGTATTCTTTAATTTCATGAGATAAACACAAAGGAGCACACAACTGTTAAGTGGACAGAAAATGACACCATGTTTTCTAAATACAATAAAAATCTAAATCTGACTCTTCATCCTGAACCTTTTCTCCAAAAACCATAAATAAAACCTTCTGAAATATGGCTGCCGTCCGAAACCGACAGGCTTGGCGAGGAACAGCAGCTGAGAGATTCACGGCAACTAGAAAACTAACATTATATCATCAGCATTTAAACATGATGGTGGCCGTGTCATGCTGCGGAAAGGCTTCTCTTCACCATGAATGAATTGACAGTAGGACGGATGGAGCTAAATGTGGAACGATAATGTTAAATTAACTGCAGTAGGCAGCAAAACACTGAGAGGATGCAGGAGTTTTCCCTTTTTAAGTGCAGAGATGGTGTTTAAAATGTAAATCCCTTTATTGTCCCACAATGTGGACTCCCTTGGGGAGCAGTGGGCTGCCATTGTGCGGTGCACCGGGAGTAGTATGGGGTTAAGGGTTTTGCTCAGGGACCCAGAATGGCGGTCTATGGGAGTGTGTGGGGCTGAAACTCAGAACCAAGCAAAATGCTGTAAAAAGTAGGCCACCACTCCCCATATTTATTTATTGGAATGGATTGAGATGACCAGTAAATTGCTGATTTAATCCCATTTAAAGCCACACAAGGAAAAATATGCTTTCACAAATAAACAAGAAATTATCAACGAGGAACAACTTGCTGATTATTAAAAGGAATACTTTAGGACACATTAAGTGGTGGATTTGTATTAATAAACCCACTGTAAATTAAATTAAGTTGCATTCTTTAAGAAAAATATATATTTCTAATAATAATAATAATAATTTTATTGCTGCTCTTAGGAAACAACTAGCTGGGGAAAAAAATATAAACCAACAATACCAATTCACTTTATGGAAATGTTATCGACGCACAATAAATGTCTTATCAAATATAAAGAATTAATGATAAATAGTTTGCCTATCCCTATAGCCATCATGAAAATACCCCAAATAAGCAGCCTGAGCTCTGATGCAGTGGTTTACATCCTGTGGTGAAATGATCCATTCAAAGTCAAGATAAAAGTATAACCAAGAATTAGTGGTTAGACTAAAAATGTAACATTCCAAGACAAATGAGTTTGAGCTATTTAGTAGGGAGGAATGGGCAGACATCTCTATGTGCAGCAGAGACTTAAAGCTGTGATTGGAGGTGGTTCTAATCTTTACTCCAGGAAGCACATGAATGCAAATGATTATCTATAAAATAAATTCCTTAATTTATTAATCCACTTAACAACCATGAACTACTTTGTGTTGCTCTGTTATAAAAAACACTTTAAAACTTGCGATTGTATTGCAGCAGAACATTTTTGATATAATAGATCCAATGTGATGAGAACCTCATCTGACAGATGGTCACAGTGCTCGATGAGTCTGTGCCTGAGTGGATTCTGAGCCATCGCTGCCGGAGTTTCTGCTTCCTTGTCCTCTCCCAGCAGAAAGTAAACAATCTCCTGCAGCAAAGCGTCCGAGGTCACCTGCCTTATGATCCTGTTCAACAGGGCTGTGGAGGTCAGGATGCCCACCTCAGACCTGCAGGGACACATGTTTCAGAACTGTCACGACTCACACAGCACGCCGACATGACTACAAATGTCAACTCTGGATGATTGACGGATGAATCAGTGCAGCACTTACGTCTGCATAAGCTGTGGTTCCATCACGGACACAAAGAACCTTTCTCTCACTGCTTTTGCCATCACTGCAGCTGCTGACTGGAAGACAGAAAAACAAAACATGCAGATCAGCCTTCTGTGCCGTTAAATAAATAACTCTCTTAGAGAGAGAACATCAATAGTTCTGTCAATCCAGATGACAGTATGACACATCAGAGCACAGCTAGTCAGAGCTGTTAAAAAAAAAAAAAAAAAAACCTTCTGAGCCTCCTTGATGAGCTGATCGCAGTAATCCAGCCACGACAGGAATGATATCAAAGCTCTCTTCCCTGTGAAGACGGCAGCGTCCTCTTTCAGGTTGTATACATCTAGACTAAAGTAGACAAAAGGGAGAAAAATAACTCGTTAGGCCATTTTAAACGTTACACACAAAATGTGCTTCAAAGACGATAAAAAACCAAATCACCCCCAGTTGACTGACTCCACCGTCTCGATGTCCATGGGATCGATGGACGGAGGCAGGGCTTTATAAAAGGAGACCAGCCTTTCGGTGAGCAGTTCACAGAGTTCAGTGTTTTCTGTTAAGCACCTCGCAGCAGCCGGCTCTGGCAAACTGACGAGGAGCATTAAGCCCTCACATGCTTTCACCACTATCCTGCCATCCTTAAGAGAAAACAAAAATAATGAGGTGAAACTTTCAAATCAGAAGCGATCAGATTCTTTCTGCTTATTTCTAATCTTCAGTTTTAACTGAAGCATTGATTTGCCGATACCAATGTTTTAACGCTGCTATTTACTGGTTTACTATCTATACTGGGCTGCAACTAACAATTGTTTTATTAAATTGATTAATCTGTCGATTATTTTTTCGAATAATAAATGGACAGCTAAAGTTTCCTTAAAGATTTTTAACGAAATTGAACGTAGTGAAAGTAAAACTTTTCCACTTAAGCAGTGCTGGATAGAGCGTATTGACATATATATATATTTTATTTTGGTTTAATTACTGCTGTAAGTGGGTCTATGTCAGCTATAGACATGTTTTAGAATCTCTACACTCCAGTTAACGGTTAAACGATTACTAAATTAGTTGATGATTATTACAATAACCGATTAGTCACAATTATCTGATTAGTATTTCAGCCCTAATATATACTATCTTATGTTAGAGCATACTTAGCATGGATAGCATTGCCCCAGCCTAAGTTTAAGTGTGTATCGTAAAAAATTCCTTACTGATTTCAGTATTTTTAGGCAGGACAGAGGCTGAAAGCTCTACAATTATTTAACCATCCTGCTATCAGCTGAAGGTCTTTTTTCGTTCAATAGATTTTTGCATCTCTCTGCATCATCTGACTTTATTTTTAAATGCCTTGCTAACTTTATTTTGGAGTAGTTTTCAGCACTAACAACAATCACCATACAATCAATATTTAAAAACAAACAGCAGCTCTCCATGAAGGAGCCACTTACGGGACTCTTTGTGAGGTTCAGAAGTGAGGTGACCAAGTTGTAGTTGTTGGTGTTATTATTGTTAGTAGTTGGGCTGGAGGTGGAGGCAGCAGCTGCAGCAGCTTGTGGTTCTCCAGGGGGGTCTGCCTGAGACTGACCAGTGTCTGGAGCCAGGACACCAGCGTTGGCTGCTTCTGTTGCAGCAGGACTCTTAATGTCAGATCTCTTTGATTTGTTCTGCAAACATTAAAAAAAAAAAAAAAAACATTCTTACATTTTTATAATTAATAAAAACCTTGAATCTCCTATTTCTTCCAAGACTGACAAGAACCCACCTCAAGGAAGAAGTTGACGAGGTACGGGTCCTGCTTCAGTTTGGAACAGACGATGCAAAGAAACTGGATCTCCTCGTTTTCTGTAGGTGCAGCCAGAACCTCTCCACACAGCCGGATCATTTTCTGACACATTAATGAGATGGAAAAGCCCCTAATAAATGACATGTCCCGCCATGTTTAATTATAAACCAAGAGCAGAAACAACCAGTCAATATTTCTACCTGCACAGGTCGGTGGACGTTGATGTGTGGCAGAAGAGGCTGACGGATGTGAGCCAGCAGCTTGGTGTAAAAGGTGAGGACTTGTTGCTTCATGCCAGGAGGACACTGAAACATAATGTTCAGAAATCAGCTCTGCACAACAAGTACAGATGAAAGTTTTACCAAAATATATATATATGTAAAAAAAAAAAAAACATCATCTAGAAATATATACATTTAACACCTCCTTACATCAGCTTTGCCTAATGTGTAGAGGGTCTCCAGGATCTTATGGTGCAGGAGGTACTCCATGCAGGGTCCAGTCTCACCAGACTCCCTTTCAGCCTCCTCCTGGGTCAGAATGTCCAGCATTTGCTCCAGGTGGGACGGGATGTTGGTGTCTGTGACTGGGGCTTTGTCATCTAACAGAAACACAAACCATCCTCATATAGAAAAATGTCCAAAGTAAAATAAATACCCAAAAATAAAATAAAAACACTTTTTCCACATTTCCACATCAGATAAAAACAAAACAAAAATGAAACTGATCATTTAAACCCTGGATCCTGATCTGTTGTATGAAGTTTGGTGCTTTGATGGATTAGTGGATAAAAATAGGACAAAATATCAATTAAATACAAAACAGGGTAAAACATACACCTGCAAAAGATAAAACAACAAAATAGACATGCCTGTTTGTTTACTTTTCTTTCTTGTAAGTTAAGTAAGCTGTGTACAAATAATCATAAAACATGGGTCCTAATCGATTAAATATTATAGCTAGGGATGCACCAGATATTCAGCCACTGAAAACTTTCGTCCAACTTTAACTAGAAAGTTAATTTTTGGTTTTCTGCGGTTGGACATTTAAAACCGAAACAAAACAGCCGAAACTTGTGATGACATGACACACAGCGCTCCCAGTGCGGGTGCAAAAAGATCGCAAGGAAAGCACGCGAAGAAAAGGAGCACAGGTAGAGAGACAGAAAATTGAGCGTGCGAGTGAGAGGGTGCGAGTTTAATCGCTGCTCATCGTTCTCATTGTGCGCTCAGGTCAGTGGCACCAAATGCCACAGAAGTCAAAATGTCCCTATCGCCATTCTGCATATAAGAAGAATGCGACACCGAAAAGGAAACTGACACCAAACATGCCACTGAGTCTGAGGATGATGTGCTTGAAAAGGCAAGAAAAGTTTCCTAGAGATTCTGCAAATGTAAAGACTATAATAATGTCACTGGTAAATAAATATTTTTGGAACATTTGTTATTAAATAGTTTATAATTTATTGAAATACCTTGAGTTTAACAAGCTAATATGAGTTTTTTGATAGTTAGTATACACTGTAGCTGGAAATGCTTTGATTTTAATATTTAAAGTAACTTCTTCTTACGTTTTGGTTTCCGGCCTTGATTTCCAAATTTTTTTGCTTTCCGCCAAGAATTTTCACTTCAGTTCATCCCTAATTATAATGTCATATACATACATGTTCATAAAGCTTAAAGTCACTTTATCAAAGCAGAAGGCTCAATCTATGTACTAAATGTGGCTACACTGAACAGGATCATTATCAGGAAGGTCAGACTGAGTTAATGGAGGAAATTAAAGATTTCACCAAAATCCTTTGTGAGATCTAACAAAAAAAAAAAAAACTACTAATGTATCTAGATTTCCTGTGTAAAAGTCGTCTTCTAGGTAAACCAAATCATGGAAAAAATATGTAACTGGAAGATAATCTAAATGCCACAAAATACAAACGCAACAACAAAAGGTTTGACTAAATATGTGTCAGCTCAGCAAAAACCCAATAATTGGGTAAACAGTAGCTCTTCACAAAATCACTCTTTATCTGTTAAGGAAATATCTGAATATTTTAGTGCCACTGACAGAGATGCATTATATATAGCTGTTTAGTTCAGAAAGTCCGAAGCAGACAACAATGTCATTAGTATTGGTGCATTTCCCTTGAAATATAACACCAATAAATTACATCAAGGCATTTATTAGCTAAGACTTCCATTGTAATGAGAAGTACATTCAATAAATTGTGTAGCTCTGATGAGAAGTATTACTTTGAAGAGTTTGCTTTTTAACCATCAGACATTTGTGTGGTATTATCAGCTAAAACTACTTTAACACACAGAAGGAAACCCAGTATGATGAAAGGCAACCAAACAGCATTCTTTGAATCTTTAAGTTATTTTCTATTGTGTGCTTTCTCAGAAAAAGCTACTCTATAATACACAGTTTGCCTTCCAAATACATAATTATTGTTTTTTTTCCACTGATCTTTATCCATCTTAAAAGTAATCCATCTAAGTTTACAGACAACACAAATGAGGGTAGAGTCCATAAAACACAGTAATGATATCAAAATAAAATATGTTTTAGGATAATCCTCCCAGAGTCTGGTAAAAATAGTTTTAAAAAACAGCACTTCTGCTCAACCAAAGCTATCCCTTTTTTGAAAATGCCATTTTGCTCTCAGCTAATTCAAAAAAAAGGAGCAACGCTGCTAATGGACCAACCAGTAAACAACACAGAAATAAACCTATGAAACAATCAGTCTCTTTATCACAGCTATTAAGACCACATCTTAGACATTTCTTACCAGAAGTCTCAATGTAATAATGCGTAATTCCCTTCCAGTGGTAGACAAAATCCTCTTGCAAGGGCAGAGATGGGGCAAGCTGAAAAACAAACCAATGTGAAAATAAGCATTTATAGTGGTAAAATATCATCATGTCTTTGTGATGTATTATGTTTAGATGTCTGTTTTCAGTTCTTTAAAATGTAGCTGTAATATAAACTTTACTGTTAATCACTAAGAATTAACTTAAGTATGAATAGTGTTATACAAATAAATATAAATTACATTGTTGCTTTAACCGTCTAAACGGCTGCGATGGCGATTCAAAAAACAGCCTTTTATTTGTTTTCCGGTGCTGCAGTTTTTGGAATCTCCAATAATACCAAGCTAAACATATCTTAAATAAAATCATCTTTCATTTCTTTTTTTTCCCCCTCTAAGCAACCTAACCATTGCTATTTTGTATAAGGGTGCATTCACAGGGTGCTGCATTTATTTTTCAAGAAGTGATTTTTTTTCTTCCCCAAATCAATCAAATATTTCTTGCAACATCTTTCATGCATCTGTATAACAAAAAATAAACATTTGTTACTTGAACTAGTGGTGGTTCTAGACAAAATTTACCAGGGAGGCCTGTTTTTTTTTTTATGGCGACACAGAACAAAATAATAACAATAAGAAGAAATAAAAAAATAAATAAAGAAAGCAGGACAAGAGTGCATCATGTTAAGTGAGACAAAAAACAGGGGTTGTAGACTCCTGATCTATGAAATAAAAACTCAATTTACTTTGAAAGTAAATTGAACTGAAGTGGACCAGGGAATGATTTACATCAGTTATGGTGTCTTCAGTCAGCACATAAAAAAAAGTATCAACATTAACAATAAGTAGACATTTCTTAAAAAAAAAAAAAGGAAGAAAGAAATTAAGGCATTTCAGCCTAATTCCAGCAGGTGAATAAGATGATCTGCAATAGGATTGATTATATTTTCCTTTGTAAACCATCTTATTCCCCTGGCACATTTTCTTACTGACCTGCTCAAACCAAAGGAAAATATACTTTATTCAAGAAGAAAAGAAAAAAAATACTTGCTTATATTTCAGTTTTAGCAGTTTCCAGTACAGGGGGGCCAGTGCCCCTGTCTAGAACAGTCCCTGATATCCGTCCATAATAAAACTAATTAATACCTTTAATTTTGCAGGTAGAAGATGATTTACTGTTTTAATGGTAAATGTATTTAAACAACTAAGAGTAAGGCATTCTGGATAAACAAAAATACCTTTCCAAATCCCATTAATAATAGCCTTTTATATATATATTTTTTTTTAAATTAAAACATGTTAGCACATGTGTTTCAGGAAACCAGTCAAATGTTTACAGATGCAAACAATGGGAGCAGAACAGTTTTGGAAACAGGTGTAAGCTAGTGCTTATTGTTTGGGAGCTTTAAAACGTCTAATTTTTACTTTTCACTAATTACTGAGGCAGATTGGCCACAAATTCGCTCTGGTATATTTGCGCAACATCAAAAAACACTGTCCAAAAATTTCAACCCCTCGTCATCACTGTTTGAAATAGGATAGCTAACTACGACATTAGCTTAGCATTTAGCTCAGCTGGCGAATCAAGATCTAAAAGGTTTATCTTAGGTCATTAGTAATAATACATACAACTTTCAACATTTAGAGCCATTAAAAAACAAAAATAAACCAAAGCTAAGAGCAGTGAAAGACAAGAAACAAGGTGACACAGCCGATTTGTCATGCTAACTGTTAGCTTGCTAGTTAGCAGCCCAATGCTAACGACTTAATGAGACAATATGCCGTTTTGACCAAACTTAATATCATAAATAGAGGCCCAAAACAATTTAAAATACAAATACTCACCGCTTCAACAGCATGCTGCAGAATGGACGTAAATTTGGAGAACATCTTGTTCTTCGACTGAACCAGTTTCTCCCGAGAAGACCTAGAGAATTCCTCTATCTTCTTCTTCCTGTTGTTGCCGCCTCGCTCCAGATTGGAGGTTTCATACACTGACCCTTGTAACGAAAGAATTCAATGTAAGCAATAAACCCGCGGCAGGTCGTGTCCCTCAGGACTTTACAGGCCCGGTACCGCTACTTTAAACGAGACGTCTCCAGACTCTGGGACAGACAGGTTCACTTTGGACACGGTGGCACTTCCCTCGCCAGACGCTTGATACCCGCCACCAGGGGGCGTACTCGCACAGGACAACAGTCAGACATAAAAACAATGTTTCCAGTTTGAAAAGGTGAGGCTAAAAACACCGAGAACCAAAAAGGACACAATCTAAAAATTAAATTAATCTTAAAAAATATCAGTTTCTTAAACATTAAGTATGTTTTAATTTTTCTTATATGTTTAAAATTTCTTTTTAAATATTTTTTTATTGTATTTAGAAAGACAGGCTTCCATTACATTCAGTAATTAAAGCTTTACACATTTAAGATTGTATCTGAGGATATAAACAGAAAGTCCAATGATTTTCTCCATGCTGCATTACCTGTATTTTTTTACAGAGTATCACTAACTCTAACTTATGTATAAATAATAACAAAAGTGAACAGAATTGAACAACTATGGGGATTGCACCACGTCGTACAATGAAAACCACAAATACGTGCACTATTGCATCTTTTATGCAAGTTTAACAGAGTTCGTTGTATTTAATCTAGTATTTGTATTTCTTTATATAATAAGAAT